GGAGGCATCGACTTCACTCTCTATTCCCATTCCCATGCCCCGACCACTGTCCAAGTCCGTCAGTTGTCTAGTGCGTGGAATGGCTGTAATGGCTGACATAGTAAATGACAAATAGAAGCGAATATGCGTTTCTCAAGTTCTTGTTGTAAAGAAGACAAAGGTGCAATCACTAGGAGAGCACTTGTATTAGCCTGAACTTTCAGCTTAGAATAGGAGGATATTGTCAGAGCAAATGAGAGAACAGCAAGTACTAGCATGTTTTATAGTCCAGCTACGAGGAAATGGGGGAAGGTGGGTGAGGGGGCGGCTTTTGTGATTACTTAAGCCCATGCTCATTTCGTCTCCGGTATCGTTTCAGCGTGCGTCCTTGGTGTTATGACGTGTGACCTTGGCACCGTGGCCGGCGTCCTTGACGCGGCAGCGTGCGTTTCTGGTTACGAACTGGGCCGTGCTTCTTGGTCACGCGAAAGTAGGGCAAAATAACAGGGCGGTATATCCACATGCCTGTTGATAGAGTCTGACATGCAGGCCTCCAGTAGTTCTCGCCCCGTCTTATCATTGGCTCGTGCCATTACCCAAGTGCCCGTGAAGTCAAATTCGTGGCCTTCTTGCAGAGTGTGGGTGGCAATCTGAGACAGTGGATCACCTTTCCGCACTACCAGTTTGTGTTCCATTATTCGCGATCTAAGTCTTCGCCTCCGTCTTTTATTCACATTACCCACGAACGCATGGTAACTGTCGGACGATGAGCAATATCCCCGCCAAGTTCTGCCGCGATACGTTCAGTTGCTTCTGACACATTTTTCTATGCCAGAGTGTTGGTGGCCCTCCTCCGTGTGTTCCCCGTGGGCGCGTACAGAGGCAGCTGCAACGTCAAGGACGCACGCCATAACGCCAAGGACGCACGCCGAGACGATACGGGAGACGGAGTGAGCGTGGACTCAACCAATCAGGAATGCTACCCCCTCCCCCACCCCTGTTTCCTGGTAGCTGGACTACACAAAATGCTAATGCTTGCCGTTCTCTCATTTTCTCTGACGATGGCCTCCTGTACGAAGCCGAAAGCTCAGGCTTATACAAGTGCTGTCGCAGTGATCGCGCCCTTGTTTTCCTTACAACAGTTAATGACCTCGTATGCGCTTGCCACACACATATAATCATCAGGATTTTACACAAAAGGGGGTGAACGGCTCGCAGCTCACGCGTGGAAGATTGCCAAACGTCACTGTATGCAGAATTAATTGCAACCTTACTTTCAGACCACTAGTCGGTCGCTCTGCACAAACACATATTGGGCTGGCTGTGGGGTCTGAGTATGATTGTCGGTTGGCAACCTTCCAAGCTACGGCGTTTAGCGCAGCGTGCTAGACTCACGACCAGATCATACATGCGACAGAGGAACCACATTAATGAGGGACAGAGGATCACACGTCCAAATTACGTGAGGTGTGCGTTGTGTGACGTTGGGTGTGGTAAGGTTTAATTTAGGTGCTGGTGTACAGAGTAGAGCGGTGGTGTTTTTTAACCGGCAGTGTTCTAATAGTGGCCTAATAAGTTCATGTTAGATACGGACTGCATTAGAATCAAACCTCGAAGAAAGTAACTGAAAGCATCAAGTCACCATAGACCTTTCCTATGTTGTCAACTGCTTAAAACCATCTACCTTCAAACGGCGTGTTATATAAAACCTTTTTAAATTTTCATCTAATATAACACAAGAGATTTAAGTGCTTCGCTAAAAATTAGCGTATATACCTTCAGAGGATCGGGATGCAACTGATTATTTGGAATGAAGTATGTTTCCGGACGATCGGGGATTGTAACTGTAACTCCGCTGTTTCTAAAAGGAGGAGTCAAGCAAGGGGTAACATAAGATGTTTGCAGCAAAAAGTCTACGGGTATGTGGAAGGACAGCATCGTATTATTTCATGTTTTGAGGAAAGTGGCACACTGATCCGGGAATAGAAACCTTCCCCTCCCCTATTCAGGGGACCCTATACTGATTTCCGGGGTGATTGGTATCAGTGCTGAGGTAAGGGTTACGGATTCAAGAGCAGAAGGAGGAGGGAGAAAAAAGGGAGGCAAG